TAAAAATAATAGATAGATTTAAGAAAAGATAGATATTCAAGATATCTCATCTTTATCTTATCTTTTAAATTTTTTGAAATACTGAAAATCTTTATCTTATCTAGATACAAATTTCGTATCTATGAAAAACCCTGTCTCTCGCTGTATGTGTCAGTGCGTGCGATGAACATATTTGAATCAACGAAATAATTGAATTTTTACCCAATATACCGGAAATAATCAAGTTCATTGGTTAATAACGATAATCAATTTATGATTGTTTTTGGCAACAACAAAAAAATTCCATCAATTTTTCCAAACAATCGATCGAAAGCATTTTATGGCTTTGCCATACATGTGTTCAACAACTTAAGTTTTTATTAGAAAGCATCAACGCTTTACCAAATGTGATAAATATATAAAATGTTTGCCATTAAAGACGTTTTCACAATAGATTAAGATGTTTTATTCACCACATTTTTCGTTCAAATGATCATGGAAAAATGGTTCGTTAATCACATTTCGTGAACGTAATTATTATACCAGAGATGCGAACCAAAACCGGTTTCAGTCACCGAACAAACCGGAGCAGGCGAACCGTTGCGAAAATGGTTTGCACTGTAGTGTGGTATGTTTGTATGGTAACGATGGCATGTGCAAAACCTTCGGAATGTTTTCACTTGCTTCGCTTTTTTCAAGTGGTTCCGAAAATGTCTGTGAAGACGTTTTACTTCTCGGAATGGTCACATAAATTTCGTTCCAGAGAACACCACTCTTCTTCGATAAAACAAAAGTTATTTCGTTGTTTCCCGTTTCCTTACGACATTAATTCAATTATAAATATTGAAAAAAAGGACTTGTTGAGTATGCTTTTATAAAAACAATTAATTAAAAAACGAGAGTGCTTTTTCTTGCATCATTGATTAATTAAAGTTTTAAAGTAAAAGCTGCTGCATTGATTAGAAAAATAACGTCAATGCAAATTAAGTATGTTATTTAATCACTCTTGAAATGTTCCTAACATTTTCTCCATCTCTCTCTCTCTCTCCCTCGCTCTCCCCCGCTCTTTGTTGTTATCCAAAGACTTTTTAATTACAAAAAAACGTATGTTTTCTCTCTGTGTGTATTTCATTAAATGGTAATGATTTTAACCAACAATTTTAAGCTCATTGAACAAATGCTGCATATGGTTGCTTTGTTTGCAACGTTTCAACAGAAATGTTCCTTGACAGAGAGCAAAGGAGAGAAAAAAACGAATATGACCTGAATCCATATAGGTATATACCATCCATACATACCATGGATATTCACGAACACAAATTAGTTCATGGTTATAAAATGGAAATTGAACTACAATTCATTTTCATAACACTTGTATTATCACCGTTGATGTGTATTTTATTATTCATTCAATAAAATACAACATCCAATTTAATAAAATTAGCATGTATTCATAATTAATATCAATTTTTACATAATTGCCAAAAATATGCATCATCATTCCAATAGACCGTTTATAGTATGTAAATAGTTGTTTTCAGACGATACACACACACACACAACAAAATCCCCATGTTCTATTCATTCGTATCTGACAATACAAACCAATGAAGCAAACATGTTGATAAAATGTAATGCAATAAAAATTGCGTCCGTGAAAATGTGTGTGTGTCCCAAATCGTCGATTTTCCATCCAAAATATAAAATATTTCTATGAACGTATTTCCCCAGTGTGTTACCGTTTTTCAGCGTAAAATTTTGTACCGAAATCCCTCGGTTTACGAACCGAAATGCTCCTTTATTGTTGTTACTATCATATATGAATATTGAATTTTTAATATCGTTTTTGTTTCATCTGTTGCATGTTGGTTATATGGGTTTTTATGGTTTGCCTTTTATGCTGTATAACGTATAAATTGTATAAATTTTCTATAATTTTACAATAGCAAATATTTAGTCATTTCCAGTAGAGCGCTGAAGTCCCACTTAATGGAATGTTCGGTAAATTCGATATCATCACTTCCTAAATAAAATATAAGATTTTTTTTTTCAAACAAATGTGATTGAAGCGATATTTAACACATTTTTTAACAACAAAAACAAAATTGACAAGCAATGAAAGAAAATTGCCGATGTAGTTCATGTTCAAATAAAATGCACGTAAGACAAGATTAGAGTGCAATATTCGAGTAAATTTCTGCTTTTTCTCATGCGTTTACCCCTTCCAAAGTTGTCTAATTCGTGTTTATTTATCATTTTTATGAATAACCTTGCGATAATAGCATGTGACATGAACGTTCATAAGCGATGCGAGGAAAGTGTTCCGAGTTTATGCGGTTGTGATCATACAGAACGACGTGGGCGTATTCATTTAGGTATATCATGCGTAGGAATGCGACTCACCATTGAAGGTAAAATATGGTTATGATCTGACTGACCCCTCAACATTATTAACACTGATGTGTCAGTGGACACGGACGGCCAGTATGAAACGTTCATTTTTGCCCATCCGATCGATTATGTTATGAAAATTTCCGGATGTTCGTCTGGCTGTTCTGAATTTGAATTTTAAGACGGACAGATATAAGCAATGTCCGAATTATAAGGGGTCGAGGATACGTCTACTAATTTCGATATTTTTCATTATTATAATTTGAAAATTGCTTATGTGTGTGTGCGTCCGGAAATATTCATAAAATAATCGGACAAATTGACGGACGTCGCTTGCATTCACTGACACCTCTAATTAATACATTGGTTCTTATTATTCATATATATATATTCTTATTATTCGTATATTCGTTCGCTTTTGTAATATTTGAAATAAAAATCAACGATATAGTTAAAGAAGGACGAAATTTGATTCCAATGGATCCGAATGGTTTAAGCGATCCATATGTCAAATTGAAGCTCATTCCCGATACAGATAATGTTAAAAAGAAAACAAAAACCATCAAAGCTTCATTAAATCCAGTTTGGAATGAAACAATCCAATTGTAAGCCATTTCCATATTTCGTGTGCGAATAATTTTTGGTGAAATGCGTTTAAAATCAATTCAAATGTTTCTTTTCAGCGATTTAAAAGCCGAAGACCGAGACCGACGCATCTTAATCGAAATATGGGATTGGGATCGTACGTCAAGAAACGATTTCATGGGCTCATTATCTTTTGGAATCTCTGAAATTATGAAGGTACATATTGACCTTTCAATCAAAAACAAAAGTTAATTAAAAAAGTGACCGCGGGCGATTTGAACAAAAAACAATCAATATCATCAATTTGAACGTGTCTTTTTTTGCCTACACAGCAAAGCCCATCGGACGGATGGTACAAATTGTTAACCGCCGAAGAAGGTGAATTTTATAATGTACCCGTTCCAGATGAGGGTACCGACTTGGTTCAGCTCAAGAGCCAAATGCGCGTAAGTATTAAATTTGTTGATTTTTTGCCGAATTTAACTTCAAAGCCGTAAATTTATTGTTTACAGAAAACATCAATCACCAAGAAAATAACGTCGGTTGATCGCGATTTGCCACATAATATGTCAAAAAAAGATATGATACGATCAACTGATTTCAACTTTTTAATGGTTCTTGGAAAAGGCTCGTTTGGAAAGGTAACAAACCAAATGTTCATCATTTTAATATTCAAACATTTGTTACACTTTTGTAAATAATTTTGTACTTGAATATGTACGAGTTCATTAAATTTTATGCTTTTCATTTATTATTGTTACATTCGAGATGTGTAAATAAACTCCGGTTTTGGAGGGTGGTCTTTTTCCATTAATTTATGATGAATAAAACTGAAAATTCAAATTTCTCTCTACCTACGTCAATAAAATGAAGGTAATGCTGGCCGAACGCAAAGGAACCGACGATCTATTTGCTATTAAAATTTTGAAAAAGGATATCATCATACAGGACGATGATGTTGAATGTACAATGGTTGAGAAACGTGTTTTGGCATTATCGCAAAAACCACCATTTCTCGTTCAGTTGCATTCTTGCTTTCAAACGATGGTAAGTGTTTTAAACCGAAAATGCTTGTTTCAATTGCACACTTAAATTATTCAATGATTTATTTTCATCGTACATTCTCTGTATAAATGTACACACACACACACACATTTTTTCGTACATTTTCATTTTTAGGATCGGCTATATTTTGTAATGGAGTACGTAAATGGTGGTGATTTGATGTTTCAAATTCAACAGTGTGGAAAGTTCAAGGAACCGGTTGCAGTGTAAGTACCATTAATACTACTTTGACCATTATAAAGTCAAACGTAACAAAGAAATTCTAGTGCGGGTGGATATTCAACTGAAAACCGAATGAATCATTGAGACCCGAGAGATTTGTTTGTGATAACGATACGTATCGACATATAGCTTATGTTATTCGGACAATTGGTAAAAGGTCTCGAACATACGATTTGATGCGATGCTTTGGCCTTTGGCATGTAATTTTAACTTTTCGGTTCAGTTGCAAAACAATTAAGCTCCTCTGTATTTCATCGAGGGAGAAAAAAAAAATACCGACATCTGATGAAACCCATCATTGTTGTTATCAAGAAGTTTTATGCTTCAAACATTTGTCATATCGATGTATGGTCGAGGTTTTTCCTAATCTAATTTTGTATGTATGTGTTTATTGTGTGCAGGTTTTATGCAGCCGAAATTGCCATTGGGCTATTTTTTCTACATTCACGCGGTATCATTTATCGTGATTTGAAACTGGATAATGTTCTACTCGATGCTGATGGTCACATCAAAATTGCTGATTTTGGTATGTGCAAAGAAGGAATAAGCAACGACAAAACAACAAAGACATTTTGCGGTACACCCGACTACATTGCACCAGAGGTAAATATGGATGTGTACAGCTATTTTTGTTGTGGTTTTTGACACACGATTTGACTGTGTTTATCACAGTGGGCAAATAACTACTAAAACATTGAAAACCAATCAGATAATATATTGAACTAACTGGTCAACTGAGCTGACAGTATGTTAGCCAGATAAATGGGCTTAAACAATAAATGTTATTGTTATAATGATGAATCACTTATATTGTTTTAATAAAAGTGATTGATTACTATAAAAATAACTTCTATTGTTTCATATTCATTTAGCTGGCTAACGTACTGTCAGCTCAGTTGACCACTTAGTTCAATATATTGTCTGAAACCAATGACTGAAACCAATGAGCAAATATGGCACCGAATTGTTCTGAACTGATGTGAAATTTATTGAACGCAAAAATTAATTTATTATGAAAATATCAAAATTACACAGGAAAATATTTGAAAAAGAAAAATGAAAATCAACATGAACATAATTAAAATCTACATTCAGTTATTTTCATTGGTTTTCTGTTATTTACTCATTTATAATGAAAGCAAAACTCTTGAAAAGCATCCAAAATGTTTGGAAGTGAAAATGAACAGAGAAACTGATACAGAAAACCAATGAAAATGGATATTTAGTGGTAATTGCACTCTCGTCGCCGCCCCATGAGGTTTTCCATTTTCGAAAAATCTACTTGACGTTCTTCAACTTCAATTTGAAATGGTCTCTGATAACATACCGAATTGCCAATGGCATAATATCAAAAATCGAACAAATTTGTTCAATTTGTGTGTGCTTGGTTTTTGTGTTTTTTTTTTGTTTAGATAATTCTCTATCAACCATACGGAAAATCAGTTGATTGGTGGGCATACGGTGTTTTGTTGTATGAAATGCTAGTTGGTCAACCACCATTCGATGGTGAAGATGAAGAGGAATTGTTTGCTGCAATCACCGATCACAATGTATCCTATCCGAAGAGTTTGAGCAAAGAGGCCAAAGATGTGTGCAAAGGGGTGAGTTGTTTGTCCATTTGGGAATGAACTTTTTTTCTTTGAAATGATCAAACTTTGTATTCTTAAAAATAACATTGTCTGTATGTTGTTTTACCATTATAATAGCTCTTGACAAAGAATCCAACAAAGCGTCTCGGTTGCGGTGACCGAGGCGAAGAAGATGTTCGTGGTCATCTATTTTTCCGTCGCATTGACTGGGAGAAAATTGAGAGCCGTGAAATTCAGCCACCATTCAAACCAAAAATCGTAAGATTTATTCTGTTTTTTTTTTTTTTTATTTCTATCGAAACACAAATCTAAAAGAAGATAAAATGTTGTGTTTGCCAATGCATTGCTAATTCAATGGAATTTTTTTTATTATTTGCAGAAACACCGCAAAGACGTATCGAATTTCGACAAGCAATTTACATCGGAGAAAACTGACTTAACACCAACTGATAAACTATTCATGATGAACTTAGATCAAAATGAATTCAACGGATTTTCCTACCTCAATCCCGAATTCGTAACTCACATTTAAAAATGTAACAGTGCAAATTGATTGTGTGAACAACAAATATAAATACACAGAACAGAAATTGCAACCAAAATGAAAATACTCTTCAAGATTTATCGGACGAATCACATCGGAAACTTTTACTATTTTACTATTCTCGTACGATTCTCTTCGGGAAGAAAATTAAATGGATGAAGCAATGTTCATGATCATTTTTTTTGTGTTCTAGTCTCAATTTCGGTTTCATCCATTCCGATTCAGTTGTTTGACAACAACAAAAAAAAAACCATCGCATTTCCAACTGTGAATATCCGATCTAAATCTGTCATTTCCATTTAAAAAAATGTTTAGGCTAATTTCAATACATTCATTATAAACTTATGAAAAAAAAGAATTACAAAAATATATTCTGCGAATTATATAAATATCGATAATATTGAATAACTTGAAAATGAACAAAAAAACACTTTAAATCAAAAAAAAATGTATGAATTAAACTGAAAAAGTAATTCTTCGAGGAAGAAGTAGGATGGATATAACTGACAAAAATCTCTTATACACAAACACACACACTTTTTATCACATGAAATATGCGATTGATCTGAACTGATGTCATTGTTTGTGGTGGCTTTATCGGTACGTTTCACTGTTTAACTTAAATTTTGTTTTTTCGATTAATGCATTTTGCAAGGTCGGTTTTCTCCGAACATGCCAATCTGAATTTTCGATTTAAATCGAGGTCTCATCTATAATTTAATCAATATTACTTTTCCAGCATTGGCTGCCGTCTTTTCTTTTTTCGTTGTTGTTGAGACATTTTTCTCATGAAATCGAACCACCGAGGAATTGGTTTCAAAATGTTCAATTTTAAACCGAAACTTTTGCAACAATCGCAAATCCACCATCCGAATCTTTCAAGCGATGACATTTTGTACATGGTCAAACTCTCGCATTTTATATATTTAGTCAGATTGTTCCTCTATCAAATCTAGTCTCTAATAATATATTTATATAACGATTTCAATCGAAATGGTATTTATTCGCTGCATCAAGAACGATTCTTGAAAAAAAAATTAACAAAACGACTTGTTGAGTGCACGAATCACGCCACATAGGTGCATGATATATGATATTAAAGCGATATGAAACGTTCGAAAACTTTAGCGACTTTTTTCTTAAACAAAAAAAACAATTACAAAATGAACAAAAAAAAAAACAAAAACAACCACAAAAAGTATTATGAGAAAAACTTGTAATTCCGACTTTCAGTGTAGTTTTGAGTTGTTTAAGTATATTCTGGCAAATGGTGCCGTAGACTTTCCTATATGCCTTCTTTCTATATTAAATAAAAGAAAATTGTTTTTTCGTAGTGGACCAAAGATGAAGAATAACAACAACAAACATTTGAATTAATACGAAAAAAAAACACAAAAGAATACAATAAACACAAGAAAACATATGAAACGTACTCAATTTTGAAATTCAAATACTTTTTTTTAAAAAATGAAATTACGCTGATTAGGCAAAGCACCGAATGTAATCGGATTGTCCTATATTGCATTTGCAATGTAAAATTGGTTTGCTCTTTTTAGTTTCGAAACAAACAAAAAACCATTAGAGACAATTTAAAAAAAAAAATAAGAACACAAAATGAAATTTGTTAAATCTATAGGAAAAATGAAAAAAAAATGGTTCTTCGATCGCCATTTGTAGCGTGTAAACTTATCAAAACAACTATCTCAATGAACAAATAAAAAACGTATTGGGTGACACTTATAAAGAGTCGAAAATGCCAACAAATGTGAAATGTTGTGAAGAAGACAGGGGCAAAATCAACCACAAATAATTTGCTTTGAACACTTACCTCTCAAAATTGTAATAAAATGCCAAAACCAATGACTTTATAAGGCAATTGAAGCTTTTGTTTACGTTTTGAAATTCGTACGTATGTTCAACTAGTTATTTTGGCTGACAATCGTTTCGGTCACTTTTCCTCTTTGTCATACATTTCAATTCAATGAAAATACAGAATTGAATGGAATGTAAAAAAAATGTGATTCGGTTGGTAATGCAATTTCCGCCATTTTATGAGTGTTGCTCACGCGTTCAACGTTCAAATGTTTGATCCAAATTGTATACAGAGACCAATATTGCGTCAAAAAATATGACAAAGAAAATGCTTGCGGGGCATTATATCAAACAGTGTGGTGTGCTTTCAGTTAGAAATGCAAATGGTCAACGAATATTCGAGTCTCTGATGGATTCAACGCTCATCAAATATTGATCATTTAAAATACATTAACCGGTGTGGAATTGAACGTGCGAAAAATTAACGACGATAATTTGAACTTCGAAAAAGGAACGAAAATGTATTTTAAATGGTAACCGATTCGTTTGCATTTCTCTCAATTTTGTGACACTTTGAACACACCTCATTATCATTTATTATTAAATTATTGCATACTATATTGATAAAATAGTCTGAAATACCAAAAGTGAAAATCGAATGTCAATTGGCGTGTATGTCTCTGTAAAAATGCCACCGATAGCAAAAAAAAAATTGAATAAAACAAGCGAAAAAAAAATGGTCGATTTAAAAAGACAATCATTCTTATTACGTCATATAGACGCGGTATGCTCACCGACTCTCGAAAATCTGTGTCATTCGGACACAGTTTGCCAACAGGTAAAAATGAAGATAACAACAAAGTATTAAGTTTAACAATACACGTTCATAATATTCCATGTACTGTTTACTTCACATTTTTAAGAGGCGATTTTCATAATTCACACACCAAGCACACAACATGAATGAAATCTCTTTGCAAATTTTGGATATTTTACCGAATACTTAACAAAATGACAGCAAAAAAAATGTATCTTGAAAATATATGCACTTTTATAAAACAAAAATCAAACAAATTTAAATCAGCATTGGACGAACAATCTGTAAAGCTGTTCATGCTGGTTTCCCTTTCAATTTTACGAGAAAAAAAACCACATTAACATAAATGTTTGAATTTTGAACTTCATGACATGCACGCTAGAGAATCGAAACGTTGAACTTGCACTTCTTTTGGAATTGTTTTTATTTGATTGAAAATACTTTGAGATCGTATGACACAAACAAAGCAAAAAGATAAATTGCATTGAAATTCTGATTAAAATCAATCATTTTTATCGGAATTAAAGATTGAATCTCTATCGGGAGCCTTAACAATTAAATTTCGGTTGAAACAAAAAAAAAATCCTACATTTTAACACAAATAACATAGAATCTCTAACAATAAAGGGCAACAACCAAAACGTACAATTTGTTGACACGATGGAGGGGAAAGGGAGATAAAACTGAAAGTTTGAACAATCGTTGAAATTTAACCACATTTTATCAATTCCATTTGATTGCAAATGCAACGTTTCCTTCATTTAAATCTCTATTGATGTATTATATTACAAACAATTTTATGCTGAAACAATTTAAACAATCTTTCTGATCATCTATTTTTGCTTATTTATCAAAATATTTAAATGAAAATATAAATATATATACATATAATATTAGCTATTAAATAATAGATTACAAACAAAAAAAAAGGACGAAGAAAAAAAAAACAAAATTAAAAAAGTTAATACCTCTTTTACTGTCTAGTGAATCATTTTAAATTTCACCAAAAAAGTAAACTAATAAAAATGAAGAAAAAAATATATAAACATTTAAAAAGAGCAAAAAAAAACTCTTTGAATAAATGCGAAAAAAAATCATGAGAATTTTATTATGTGATATTAATTAAAGGAAACTTTACGTGCTAAAACACTAAATAAACAAACAAAAATTAAATCTAACCGTATTCAAAATAATGGCAAACAAGAGCATTTTTGTGCACTCTCAATTTTCATGGTCGTCCATTCTCTTGGATGAACATAGAAACCGAACAAAAAAGAGAAAACATACCTAAGAAGATGGAGAAAATCAGTTCTATATAATGATTTATTTTGTTGCTAATTTATTAATATTTTATGATAAATTTAATGTGTTTTATTACTTTCAATATAATCAATGCGTAGAGAAATAAAAAAAAGAAACTTAGATCGATTTGTTGATATCTTTTTCTGCCTTTCAGCTAGTTATTACCTCTCTCCCTCACTTGTTTCACAGACACCAAAAAAAAACTATATATGTGTAGAAAAGCGAATTAAAAAAAATGAAGAAACAAACAATTATTTAGTAGGTTAATATATCTTTTGTCTTAGACTAGACGTCTATTTTCAAATTGGAAAAATGAATTCTTTTTTTGATGAGAGGGGGAGAGAGAGAGTTTGAACAAAAATGAGTATTTTTCTTATGATAACATTATGATCTTCCACCGAAATCCCCACTCGCGAAATTTTTTCAATCAAGAGAAGAAACAAGAAAAAATAATCTCAAAAAAAAAAAATACAATGCATGATTTTTGTTTCAATTCAAATGAGCATCCAAAACAGCCAACGATCCATGCACTTTTCGTCAATTTTGTACAATTGCTTTCGACCGTTGCACTAACACCTATTTGAATGATTAGAAGCAGGGATTGTTCCTCTGAGGAGGAGGAATGGTGAGGAGGAAAATGAAGAGGAGGAGGAGAGCGAGGAGGATCCTCCTCCTCAACTGAGGAGGAAAAGTTTTTTTTGCTCAAAGGGCTATTTTTATCACAAAAATATCATTTTTAGCTAAAAACATTTTCCTCCTCAGTTGAGGAGGAGGATCCTCTTCGCTCTCCTCCTCCTCCTCATTTTCCTCCTCACCATTCCTCCTCCTCAGAGGAACAATCCCTGATTAGAAGTGACACCTTGAAAATTCCTCAATAATACAAACATGTGGAAAGCTTAAGGAACGATGCTTCGATTGAAAAATATGTACATCAAACAGGATTGCTTATGCTAACATTGTCTGATTGTCTTGATTAAATCCTTTTTTGGACTCCAATGCGCCGTTCTTTAAAAACTACTTTCCGATTTTTTGAAAACAATTGTAAGGTGTCCATAGAATTTTTTTTAACCATCGTCGATTTACGTGACATTATAACGTCGGAAAAATCAATTCGTGCATCAGTGTTGGATCCAATGCATTGTAATTCTTATTGATTCACTTAATGAACAAAAGATTCAACAAATTGAATTAAAAATACATTAGAAACAAGTTTTAACAGGTATTCATTTCAAATGAAAATCATTGTCATTTAAAAATATTATAAAAAAAAGTAAAAGCACTATCTGAAGAATTTTGAGCAAATTTCATTTAAATTATAAAAAAAGCGAATATAATAATAATAATGTAGATCAGTCAAAGTGCAGATATTTACAAAAGGAAAAATGCAGAAAGAGAGAAAAAAAAAACAAACTTAATAATTATTTTTAGTCTTGAGACAATCTTTGAGTAATTTATCATAACAAAATATTGATTTAGCGAATGAAAAATCAAAACCAATGAATCCAACTAGCTTCTGAGTGAGCGAAATTTAAATTTAAACAAATGAACAAATTTGACAAATATTCACTCGTTGTCATTGTATCATGTTCCATATACACCAATAAGCAATGTTTATTTATTGATTATGAATCAATAGAAATGCCAATGGTTCTTGAGAGAATGACAACAGAATAAAAACAACAACACTACAACTAAAACAATGTGTAGTCGCAAAAATGGTCGACTTTTGCTATGACACACTATTATTCATCAATTGTCACCACATACTTCATCAAATTCACAAATAATTTATGATTTATATTATTCATTGTCAATCAAATGACACGAAACAAAAAAAAAACATATACAATGCAAAAAATTTGCAAAATTCGAAATCAAACTGCAAATTCGATAAGATTTCTGTTTTCACATTTTAATTGTAAAACATATCAAATTGATTATTTGAAATGCACAAAATTTGTCCGCTTTTTTTCGTCATCGATTCAATCATTTTCAATATTTTATTAGCATGATATAAAATCATTTGATTGTCCGAGAATGAATGTGAGTCTTCTTGTGAGAGTTTATTGAAATGTAACACCGCCATACTGACTGTCAGCAATTTTTGTATGGCGGTGTTACATTTCAATAAACTCTCACGAGAAGACTCACATTCATTCTCGGACATTCATTTGTAAATTGAAAGTTTTTTTTTTTTAATTAAATTATTTGATATGCGTTATGGGTCATACATTGGATTGAATGGTACACTGTTGTGTCATACAATCTCTTTGCAATAACCGAAATGGTATGATTGCATTGATGATTTTTTGAAAAATCTGTCCATAACTAATGTGTCCCGATGCAAACACTCTTCACATAAATCAGAATATGAGAATATCAAATGATATATAAATATATAGTTTTTAAGCTGCTTGTGAAAGATTGCAAACGCTAATGGCAACAATTCAATAAAATATATTTGAAACCAATACATTTCACGTATTGATGTATAATATACACGTTCACTAAAAAATGAAATTCATTCTCAGTATTTTAACGAAATTTCTCTTTCCAGGATCGATTCAGTGAATTATTATTTTTTTCGCATTCCTGTCAAACATGATAAACATATGAATGTCCGAGAATGAATGTGAGTCTTCTCCTGAGAGTTTATTGAAATGTAACACCGCAATACAAAAATTGCTGACTGTCAGGAGAAGACTCAGATTCATTCTCGGACAATCATATGTGATGTGCTCTGTTAATACATTTCGAGGCCATAGACAAATGCCATCTATGTCAAATAAACACATTACAGTGTAAAGATGCAATGAGAGGAAGAAGAGATACAAATTAAATACATTGTTTTACATTATTGTGTGATTTTACATTAGATGATGCCTACATCAATCAAAGGCCGGATACTATTTAGATTAACTCGAATCGGTACGAATTCATGTCGAATCGAATAAAAATACCTCAATTTTCGGCTGCTCACAATCAAGGAAAACGAGAATCCTTTTTCGTGATTCGAATTTGGGAGAAAGTAAATCTGCTATTATCTGTCAAAACTGCGCACGTTCTCTAATTGAACAGTTTGTCTGTCTGCAAAGGTAGTTGGGAATTCCTGCCGTAATCAGTGCATGCACTTTCGAATCGAAAGTTTCGATTGATGACACTGAAAATATTGATCAAAAAAGAATTTCATGCCGGGGTTTTTTGGTTAAAATAATGGTTCACGCTGTATTTACTAAAAGTCACAAACGTGCAAAAAAACAGGCCTGAAGTCTGATCGAATGTCCCCGAAGCCCAATCGAAACCAAAATATTTTTCCGAAATCCAAAAAAATGTTAAATCGGACTTTTTGGACTATGAAGCATTTTTGGGATGTCGGTCTTTCGTATTGGTTTGGATATACATGCTCGTTGTCATGACGATGAAAATATGATGAAATGACCAAAAAATATTGTTTATGAAATCAAATTGTGGCATCAATGCTGTTAACCTTTGAATTATTAATAATTTTGTCGAAACAATATTTATGCTTCAAGTTTAAATTGAAATTTATTATTATATCAACAATGAAATGTAATGAAAATAATATCTATTACAAACAGGAACTTTATGTTCATGCACAATGTAACTTTTCAATTCAATAATTAAAAACTTTCTCTTCGGTTTTCAGTCAAAAACTGAAAATGTATCAAAGACTTTGTAATGTAATAAATTATGGTTTTGCATTATTTTTTGGTTAAATGTGATACATTTTTACTGCTGTGTAGTGTATTTACTCCAACCCCTTTGATATTATTAATAATTACTATCTTGATGTATGAGAAAAGTTTCTATGTGGCATCGTATCACAATAACTTATTACTAATTACAATACGTTGCGTTTTACCTCAAAAGGAATAATTTCACCATACCGCTGATCCAGGAACAAATTTCACATGAATTCCGATGGTTTTAATTATGGAAATGAACTTTGAGTATCTTTTTTTAATCTTCGTTCATTCCTTCGAAGTGAAAATTCTCCGTGGATATGTTTAAATATGAAATTTTACCGAAAAATACCGATTTTCGTGTGTGCAAAAAATGTGAGAAGCATTACCTCGTTTTTATCTTAACTCAAAAAAAAAATCAACACCACATACATCACAAAATCAAACAATATGCGTTTTTTCAATTTCATTTTTGTAAATGAGTTTTTTATGTTTAAATATGCAAGCGCTGTAATTAACTATGCCTTACTCGGCACACAAAATGTTGTTTAAACATTTAATATTGACTTTTCGTTATTTGCGAAAGTTTGTTTTTGAAAATAGTTTTCGTCTACGCACGAATTGCTTAGAAGCGTGGTTTTAATACGTGCTTACCGAAATGTTCAAATGATGGTTCAGAGCCCAACCCAATTGAATATTTAAAGTGTATTGGACGAGCGTATTTCTTTTGCCATTTATTTTCAACGATAGTTCAAAACTGAAAAAAAAATGGTAACGAAAACAAGACGAATCCAAAATTGAACTATCATTAAAGATAAATGCAACAATAACGTCTTTTTTTCTTAATCTATTTGGTTTGTATGCATGATTTTAAATAATTGACAATGATAGTGTCATATCGATGACAAATGATATTTTTGCAATCAAAATGTAAAATGATGATATAAAGAATATAAGGAGCTTCTGATGAAATTCAATCAATCGCGATTTTGTTGATTCACATTTTAACTGAGATCTAATCGAACGAACAAAAATCACTCACTCTCACACAAAATTTAGTTGCAACAAAATATAAAACATAAATACACTCATTTTAAAAGCAAAACCTTTACTAATTTACACAACAAAAGATAAAACTATTGCCGATACCGAATTAATCACTATGTATAAGTATCCAGTAATGTGCGAAGGGGAGGGGAAGAGGGGGGTTTTCCCCCTGTGACTTCAAAATTCTTCCGATTTGCTAGGGATTTTCGTCCGAAATGAAATTTTTCTCGATTTTCTAGGGTTTTTTGAAGAAAATTTTGAAATCAACCCCCCCCCCCCCCCTGGAAAATGTTGCTCGCACATTACTGTGAGTATCATAGATAATCCAGAAAAAAAACTGTTCCGAAATTCAATATTCAATAAAAGAATATAAAATTGACAAACAAAAACTGAACGACATTCACCACGTTCATATCACACAAGAATTATTATTGACTAAAAGTGGAAAATGAACAAAACTAACAGTAAAACAAAAATACTCTTTTTTCCTCAAGAAAATAGTAAGTAAACAAAAGAGAGAACGAAAATTATTTAGGTCTATAGACAAATTTAAAATGTAACAATAATTATGATATTAACGATCAATAAAAGGAACTTTTATTTTGTTCTTTGCAAATACTACTCAAACAATGTACCATGTTTTATTCCATTCTATAAAGTTAGAGGTGATATTTTTAATCTAGTAGTGCATGCACACAGTAGGCTTTTGAATGCAAATCAAATACAATGCCTGTGCACGCATATTTACATAGAAGTTTGACATTTCAAATATTAGTTTTGAATTTTTGGACAACTGTCAAACTTCGATGTAAATGTGTATGCACATTGAAAATATAGGCATTGTGGCAGTCTGTAAGTGCAAAGTCTACTGTGTGC